AATGCCTTCAAGTTAAACCACACTTTTATGTTGACGGGTTACCGTGAATACCTTTGCATTTCTGTTTATATGATATGAGGATAGTTTTACTCAAATGAAACGGTCAAATGCTAATGAAGTGACACTCAAGAGTAGTTCTGGAGATGTTGTTCATGTATTTATGTCCTCATTTAGTGAGGCGGCAGAAGCTAAAATCACCGCAAGCATCAAGTGCCTTCAGTACCAGTGGTAAACAATACCGCACGTCTGCGCCATTCATTAACACAGAGACACGCAGAATTCATATTTAAATAGTCGGTTTGCGGCTTAATATTTACAAATACTAGTGGGAGTGCGCTCACTTTGAAAAGTATCGATATTCGGTACAGCACGGAAGAACTGCAGAATGTGTCATATATATATTTAGTCAGCCACCAATTGTGCAAGTTCTCCTTTTGATTTTACAGTTGGGTAATTTTGTTGCAGTAGCACGAGATAGCTTGATTTCAAACGTTGAATTGAATAAAAAATGACAAGTAAACAGTCTGTCAGGGTTTTGCCCTGACACTCTGGTTGTCTTGTGTTTTTGTTTCTTGTGTCTGTTGTCTTGTCAGCACATGGCCTAGTTTGTTTTTCTCAGCCATGTGCTTTAGCTCCTCCTCCTGGTTTCCTCATTACCACACCCTCTTGTTAGCCCTCATTGAGTCCTACCCTAATCAAACACACCTGAACAAGCTAATCAAGGTCTGAACGGTTATTAGGAAGCTACAGGCAGGTGAGTTTTAATTAGGGTTAGAGCTGAACTCTGCAGGGCTGCGGCTCTCCAGGACCGGAGTTCGCCACCGCTGACCTATAGGGTCATTCCGTGTCAAATCAACCAAATTTCAGAAATTTCCCCGGCTCAAATTTTATGATTTTGCTAATATTTTTTTCTGAATATGGAGTCTCATTGACATCCCCATATCTCTGGGACCGAACAATGTAGGGCCTTGAAAATTAAGATTTCAAAAGAAAAGTTAAATAGAAGAAGTAAAAGAAGAGGAAGAAGAATAAATAAAAGAAGTTTAATACTTCTTGAGTTATAGGCACGCAAACTTTGGAAAAAGAATACTTATGACACTCAGAAAGGTATGTTCAATGCAGTTGTTTGGACAGAAGGAAATAAGATACATTTCTAGTTTCAACATTATTTATTCTTCAGACATTTCTCTTTAAAATAAAAGAATAGGGATGCACGATATTGGATTTTTGCCGATATGCCGATATTTTTCAACTCATTATGGCCGATACCGATATATTTCCTTTTGTTTGAAAACAACACCAAGTCTCTCCTGTGCAGAAATTATAAGCTAAATATTTTTAATTTTGGTTAGTTTTTAACAAGAACTTATTTGTTAGAATTAAATAAACGATAATGATGGTTTTTTGACAGTACATTAAAGCTTTGAAAATAACTATAAATAAACTATATATCAATCGCTGCATTTTTCCCCCAGAAAGGTGCAGTGTTAACCCTAACATTTTATTTTAAGATTTAACATTGTAGATGGTCTAAAGCACAAGAATTGTAAAAATTCAGAAAATCTTTTAGCGCTTATGATTTGTTTAAAAAATAAAACATATTACACATTAATGAATAAATCTGTAGCGACTCAGCTCACAACAGGAAATATGAATAATTAACCATAACTAGTTATAATTAATTATTCATATTTTAGATCCACTGTAGATATTTAGTTGACCTCTCAGGGTCAACTGTCTTGTCAATTCTAAGAACGTTAATTTCCTGGTTAAGGGAAATAACTTTCTTACTGTACAATTCTACAAAGCTTGTAGCGTAAATCTGCATGATTAGTGACTCCGGTTATGAGCAAACAATGAACACGTCAAGTGTGATACAAGTAAGGTTTTATTAACTACATAAACCCTTAAACTAGTCCAACATACTACATAAACTGGTCTAACATCCTACATAAACACATAAACTGGTCTAACATACACACACACACACACACACACAGTTGGTATAGGAAAGGGTTAGAGTTTAACTCAGTACAGAAAGAGACAAAGAATTAATTTTATGGAACTATTTGCATATTCAGCAGATCTACACCTTTTGTAAAAAGGTGTAACTGATACTTTAACACACCTTCGGCAGAAATCCTGGCATCCAGTTTATTGAGTGAGGGGACTGTGACGATTTGTTAATCTAATGAATAATTGATTTGTTAAATCAAATAAAAATTTGTGTCAGATTGGTCGAGACGCTACAAATCAGTATATGTAAAATTTTTATATTTTATATTTAATTTACAAGTGTCATGTTTGTGATTTTTTTGTCACGTCAGCTATAGCTTCTGACCTTTAAATCAAAACATACTCATTATTTTATGACATCAATTACTGCTTTATTGAATCGGAAACACAGTCTAAATGTTATGACCAACAGCGCCCCCTACAGATTAAAATTCCTTACGGAGCGGGCATTAGGACCCGGGGGAGGCTGCTGCTGCTGCAGCTGCACGTGCTATTACGGTTTACTCTATCACACACTGAACGTGTCATTCTGTATGTGCATTCACAGATTAAAGGGGTCATATGATGTTGCTAAAAATAACATTATTTTGTGTATTTGGTGTAATGAAATGTGTTTATGCGGTTTAAGGTTTAATTCTTAATTTTAAGGTTTAATTATTTTCCACATACTGTACATTATTGTTTCTCCTCTATGCCCCGCGTTTCTGAAACGCATAGATTTTTACAAAGCTCATCGGTCTGAAAAGCGAGGTGTGCTGTGATTGGTCAGCTATCCAGTGCGTTGTGATTGGCTGAATACCTCAAGCGTGTGACGGAAATGTTACGCCCCTTACCATACTGTGATGCCGTGTCTCGGTCGGAGCGACGAGACAAAAACATTAAAACCCATTATAATTAAACGAGGCATTTGTTGCCTCCAGTGGGGACATAATTACAGATTATATGACTTATACTGTCTTTTTATGCGTTGTGTTGCATCGCGCCGCGTAAACATAAAACCATGTCTGCATTTGTGATCGGAGAAATGACAAACAACAAGCGCTACTCTACACTGCTCAAAACTCGCGTTTGAATCATCAGTGGCAAATCCTTTAAATATGAAAACATACTTACAGTCTGTGAGTCAGAACAGCCGGCATTATAGTATACTCTACCAGGATCAGGAAACAGGAAACAGGCTGAGTGAGCGGAGGCCGGCGGGCTTGAGAACGACGCAGCCGGCGGATTTGACAAAGGAGCGTCTGGCGGGCTTGCGGCAACCACATGTGACGACCCCAGGCTGGACTCTGCTTCGTACACGGTGAAAGCCGATCCGGCGATCCACAGCGTGAAGTTGATGCATTTCCTCACCGTCAGCGACCAGCACGGATCAGCTCTAGGCATGACGAAGCGGATATTGTCCTCTTTTGGAAGGCCAAACAAAGTAGTTTCGCTTTCACAACGAGTGCCTTCACGACATGGCGGCGGCGGTGGCAACAACAATACTACAGCGAGAATAAAAGATACACCTTCTTTCTTTGCGTGAACATTTGGGCGGTGTTATGCAAATCTTCCCACATCGTGATGTAGACATGTGGGGGCGTGCTAGAACGAGCCGTTTTAGGAGGGTGTGGTTGACTCTTAACTTTTATAAAGAATATCTCTTTGGATTTGAGACTTTAGTCTTTGCAACTTTACAGATCTTCTTTATGCACCAAGAGCTTGTAACACTCCAAAGAGAAAGAAAAAATTGAAATCGCATCATATGACCCCTTTAAATGCAGCGATCCAAAAGAGTGAATCTAATCATCATTAAGGCAAAACTTTGCTTCAAGAATGAGCCACACTGCTGACGTGATCTAATCGCTAGCACACCCTGAGCACATGTGAGTTAATGTATTCCTCTTATCGGCAAGACATATCGGCATCATTTTTCATATCGAGCCGATGCCGATATTTACATTTAAATCCATTATCGGCCGATTCCGATATAAGTCCGATAATATCATGCATCCCTAGAAAAGAAGCATCATATTTTTGCAAATTGACCCACATTTGGTTTTTGACCAAAATTGTACACAAAAATGTGTACAATTTACTCCTGGAGCCATATTGAAATTCCATTATCTCTGGAAATGAACCATATGGGGCCTTAAAAAGGAAGATTCCAAAAGGGAAGTTTGTTAAGACCCAATATCTAAAAGGGCATTAATATATCTTTAATACTTTTTGAGTTACAGGCCTGCAAACGTTGAAGAATAAAAACTTGAAAAGTGCTCTTTCCCCATTTTTGAATGGTCACACCACTGGCACATAATGCAACAAAGATTGCTAAAGTCAACAGATTTTACTAACAGACCTAATCTCTGGGTAAAAGTAACATTATGAGGCTGCCATATTTCTGAAGTCATTTTTAACCCCCCATAATTTGGCTCTGAATCTCAGGTGAAAATTGACATTTTGACCCCCCTCTACAAAATAGTGGATTACTCAGTAAATATTCATCCATGACATTTAATATTTTGGCTATCATCACTATACATGTTTATCTTTCTTCAGGAAAAATATTAGCAAAATCTAAAATTTGAGCCGGGGACCTCTGGTTGAGCTGACATGGAATGACCCTATAGATATAATATCTACAACCTTTTTTGACCTCCACAAAGCATGAGAAAATGAATCAAATGTAAATGTGACTTCATATATTGTTCTGAAAAGCAGTATGAGGAAAAAGTCTAATTTAATAAACCTGAGTGTCTGATGTGTTAATAATCAAAGAAGTATTCCTAGCATTCCTAATCCATAAATAAATCAAGCAGCATTCAGGGCCGTTCTACGGCAAATGGGCTTCATCAAGGCATCTACAGAAATGCTAACTGAAAGCTACAGAATAGAGAAGTAGCGATTCTCTAAATCAGTCCACAGAGCAGCAGAACCTTGCAATACTTTCTCTGACACTTCAAAAGACTTCAGAGTGAATGAAAGACCATAGCAGCATTACTCACCGGCGGTGAAGTCCTTGTTAAGGTCAATGAAAGTATTGGAATGAGGGACGCGCATTTTGCCTTCCAAGTTGAGAGCATTCTCGCATTTCAGTTGCCTGACAAACAATAAAACAGCATGCTTTCTACACATACACTGTACACTTGTTTTCTTGACACAGGCAGAAAAATCTAAAACAAGCTATTGCACATTTAGGAAAACAGTCTTACCTACTCCTGAGATAGCAAACCTCTGATGAACCATCCACAGATCCAAAAATGTCTGGAATCATGTCCCCATTAAAGCTGTAGTGGAAAAGAGGAAGCAGCTTTAAACCTTTACAAGGGAAGTTTGCATTTGTACACTAAAGGGATGAGGACTGCAAAACTTACATGATACATTACATTAAGTTAAATTTTGAGGGGTTACTTTTAAGATATTAGCCAGCAGAACAGTACGTACACTTCCTGACAATAAAAATGTCGGTCTGTTTATCAGAATTAAAGTAAGTGAAAGCCGCAACTGTACCATAATTCCCTAAGGCAAGGTGTTTAAGACCAAGATTATATAATAATGGAAATAATATTTCCACAATGCACTTAAATTAAAAACAATATACTGCACTTACTCCATGACAAGGGGCTGATCATCAAAGGTCCTGTTCAGCCCTACCTTACTACTCTGGTCTGTAAGAGAACAGATAACATAAGTATAATTTCTATAGCTTTAAGACCATAAATTCAGGCAGAAATACTGAATAAACGAACCAACTGGAGCAAGGGTAATGTACAGAAAGCACTTTCTTTTATTTTTAAGACCTTACCCAAAGTTTGGTTATGCCCCCAGAAGATGAAGACTGTTTGTGTGGAGAGGTCCTTCTGGTAGCCAGTGACAAGCACATCCATCTGAGAGTCTCCATCATAATCACCCGGGACCACACTAGTTATGCTGAAGTCACTAAGAGAGCCAGAGAAACACATGAACAAGGCAATATCAACACAATAAACTCTCACAAATCATGACATATGAAATATTAGTCTGGGGAAAAAAGTTTGCATATGTGGTTTAGGTTTTACATCATATTTGACATTTCAAGCTGTTATGGCCCATACAAAATGAGATTGTGATAATATGGAGCTCACACATTCAAGAAGAAAAAAAGCATGTCAATTTTATTCAGAGGCCCAATCTGACCAAAAATATGCTATTTGTGAAGTTGTTATGTATATGTGACCCTGGACCACAAAACCAGTCTTAAGTCGCTGGGCTATATTTGTAGCAATAGCCAAAAATACATTGTATGGGTCAAAATGATTGATTTTTCTTTTATGCCAGAAATCATTAGGATATTAAGTAAAGATCATGTTCCATGAAGATATTTTGTAAATTTCCTACTATAAATATATTAAAACTTAATTTTTGATTAGTAATATGCATTGCTAAGAACTTCATTTGGACAACTTTAAAGGCGATTTTCTCAATATTTAGATTTTTTTGCACCGTCAGATTCCAGATTTTCAAATAGTTGTATCTCTACCAAATATTGTCCTAACAAACCATACATCAATTGAAAGCTTATTTATTCAGCTTTCATATGATGTATAAATCTCAATTTTGAAAAATTGACACTTAAGAAGGTTTTGTGGTCCAGGGTCACATATGGTCATTAAATGCGATGACATTCTAATAGCTTGTAATGTAAATCAATGTGATTTTTGTTACAGTACAGCAGACTACATAAAATGTAAATAAACATAAGTTGTCAATGCCTCTCAACAATATGTTGTTTTATGATCAAAGCTCTGTAATTTTAACTGTGAGGAGCAAAACATATAATGCAATGCAATATAATTATATTAGAGAGAAATAAACATTCTTAAAGTCGGTTTTATCTTATTTGATACACACATTTTTAATATAATGTTTCTAAAAAAAAAAAGGATAATGAAGTAATCCTAGGTAGCTTCAGTCCAGTAAATGTTTACTTGAAATATTATAAGTTATTCTTTTATTTACTAACTAAAAGTCAAAAGACACATGACACATGTACAAAGATGGCGAACATTTTTAGAATTATGATAAAAGGCTGTTCACTTATTAAAAATGATGAACTATCAGTCAGGTGGCAGAAGGCATCTAGAAGATTGTGTACAACAGCTTTTCGGCAACATTTTGATCATGTTGATAATTAAGAGGCCTTAGAAATTCATGATACAGTAGGCTTTATTAGTGTGTGTCAGTGTGTATTCTTACCTAGGGAAAGCCTCTTTAGTCAGATGGACTTTAGGTTTGAAATAAGGAGCTTTAAGATCAGCCAAGAAAATCACCAACTCAAAATCTGAAAGAAACAATATTCTCATGAAATAACACAGAATCAGGGTGTTCAGTACCAATAACACAAACATATAAACAGTACATAAAAACAGAGTACAAAGGGAGTATCTTGCCACACCCCCTGTGACATCTTATTAAAACTCACACATATTGTACAATAAGCAGCATCTTACATTACATTAAATTCAGCTTAAAAGGGAAGATTTCGATATATTAATAATCTTAACGTCAGCTAGCAGAACTGTACTTACGCTTCCTGATGATGAAAATGTCAGTCTGTTTATCAGAGTTAAAGTCACCGAAAGCCGCTACCGTACCAAAATTCTCCGGGCCAAATAAATCAACAGTAACGTCCTGCAATGCAAACGTGACATGTTGTCCCACAAAACTTAATAATAACGTCAAAAACCAAGTCCATGACAGCAACATTTTGCAGTTAGCTTCGGTCACCACAAACCGGAACACGGCATGTCGTTCTACGGCAGCCAGGGGAGTACATATAGGCTTTGCGACCGTGTGAGTGCTAACCGGCAGTGCGAGTGTGATGTTGTTATTTAGCTGTCGTTATGGCAAGCCTAGCGGATGTCGGCTGGAAGCTGCTGGAGTTCAAAGCCAGATCTAAGCGATCAGGTTTGGCTTTTTGTGATGCATGGCATTGAGCACGATTAAGCAGTGCGCATTTGCTCTCTCGGTGCATTTTGATCCATTGTCCGTGCTGCAGAAGCGCATTAACATGAGTTTTCTTGTCTGAGCCCAAAGGTCAGGTGCGAAGTTTACGCTGATCAGGGCTATATTTAGAGACTGACTGCACACTGCGCTTCAGGCTTTGAATTTTTAAGGAGTAGCACTCTAAAAGACTTCTGTCCCCTGAATGTCTAAGGTTTTAAAGGCCTTTTAACCCTCTTAATTCAGTGCTTGTTAGCGTCTGCTTCAGCCTGACATTAAAACTCAAGTAGCCCTTGAAAGTGTTTTCAGAATCCACTTGTGGTTATGTAAGATAGATAAAATAAATAAAATCACACATAGTTTCTTCCAGCTAGTTTTGTTTGTTGAAGGCAAACCGTGATTTTATATTCTAAACCTGTATAGAAAAATATTCAATGAATGTACCGTAAATAGTGGCTGTCCTTCTACCTAATATTATCTTCTTTTGTGTTCTACAAATTCATATGGGTTTAGAACAACATGGGTGTGTAAACAATGATATATGCATTTGGAGAACAATAGCTTTAGTCTTTTGCATTTTGCTTTGATTGTTTTCCTGGCATGCTTTACTGCCTTTGCACCCCAGTAAATCTACATTTCGCTGCTCTTAGCATTGTAAATGGAACAGAAAACCATTTAGGTTACAGAGACTAAATGAAGCACATTTTGATTTTGTTGAGTCAGCTCAACCTCGGCATACTAAGTAGCCCAAAGTGGGCCTGTAGCGGTTCAGTAGTCTATAGTAGCGTCATCAAGAAGCCATGCTGGCTTTGAAGTATGCTCCTCACTTCCATCCAGGGATAATTGAATTGCATCTAAAGATGAGATAAGCATCACAATATTAAGATCAATTAAGATAAGCATTCGGATCTATGCTGATTCAAGTGTTCTTTAATATCTGTCTTTGCTTTCTATGATCAGGCTCCATCTATGAACCCCTTAAGCTATCCATACTGCAACGGGAGGATGAGCCCCTTTGGGAGAAACTTGACCGCTACTATAGCGCAGGTGAGAATATATGTCCTAGATGTAATTTGTTTTTCATATAGGTTTAAGAATAGAAGCCGATCTGAGCGTTTAATGAAATGGTTGGCTCAGGATAGTTGGAGAACATCTTTTGAGCACTCTATTATGGTCTTTAAATTAGGCATTTAACCTCATTCTGTCGTGTCATGGATTAATCTAGATGCAGCACCTTTTTTTATTTTAATTACAAGTACAAAATTATAAAGCAATGCATTTAAGGTGTCAAGCTGTGTACAAATTGCAAAGTTACTCCTGATTTTTTCTAATATAGTTGATCTGTGTATTAAGTGCACTGGTGTTTGCTCATATTTAAAAATAATTTAATTATGGCAAGATGTTTCGTAATTTAATTAGAGGATTCAAAAAGTCTCCAAACCATTACATTTAATTATAATACCCAGCAAATGAGTTGAGTCCAAGCACTAAAAGATTCATTTGGAGCTAGTATGGTTTCTCATTGCTGAGCTCCTCTGTGCATTTTGCTCTTAATCAATACTCATCTCTTTTCCTGCCTACCCTCTTTCTCCCTCTCCTCTCACCTAATCTCGCTTTCAATTTCAGTCTTCAACATGACAGTAAATACTGCTATAAAAGATGAAACAGCGTATGTAAGACTAAGAGTTTTCTTGATAGTTCTATTAGTTCTTAAAGATGAAGAAAAATCTGTCACTTGTAAATGTTTTATTGGAGTTATTTAGCTTAGTTTAAATGTATGTGTTATTTGTAAACCACTGATTTAGAATTATCTCCAACTTGTTGGTTGCTGGTTGTTTATGATATCATAATGATTGGTTATTCCCGCAGGTGAGGCTGATCTTGTTAGTGGCAGGTGGACTGATATTTGTGCTGATGCACTGCAAAAAATAATAATGATAATAATTTATTAATATATTATATTTTGCTCTTGTTTTCCAGTAAACATCTATACGATTAATTTTGCTTGAGAAGCAACATGACAAAATATAATAAGATAATAATCCAGTTTTCAGAGAAATCTAACAAAGTATAGCGAGAATTAAAATGTAAAATATCTATAAAAAATATACTTTTTGCAATGACTAGGACATATTTATCAATACTTACGCAATGGTTTCATTTGTAAAATTTATTTTAAAAACAAGAATGACGGCTCTCTACTGTTTAGAATTCAGTACAGTACATGGTGCATGTTTACATTACAGTACAAAATTGTTCCTTAAAGGGGTCATGAACTGAGAAACCAAAATTCCCTTGATCTTTTGACATACAGTGCTGCTTGAAAGTTTGTGAACCCTTTAGAATTGACTATATTTCTGCATAAATATGACCCAAAACATAATTAGATTTTCACTCAAATCCTGAAAGTAGACAAGAGAATCCAATCAAACGAAGGAGACAAAAATATATACTTTGTCATTTATTTATTGAGAAAAATGATCCGGTGTTAAATATTTGTGAGTGGCAAAAGTATGTTAATCTTTGCTTTCAGTATCTGGTGTGACCCCCTTTTGCAGCAATAACTGCAAGTAACGTTTCTTGTAACTGCTGATCAGTCCTGCACAACGGCTTGTAGGAATTTTAGCCCATTCTTCAGTACAGAACCATTTCAACTCTGTGATGTTGGTGGGTTTCCTTCTATGAACTGCTTGCTTCAGGTTCTTCCACAAAATTTCAATTGGATTAAGGTCTGGAATTTGACTCAGTCATTCCAAAACATTCCAACTTTGTTCTTCTTTAACCACTCTTTGGTAGAACAACTTGTGTGCTTGGGGTCGTTGTCTTGCTGCATGACCCACTTTCTCTTGAGATCCAGTTCTTGGACAGATGTCCTGACATTTTCCTTCAGAATTTGCTGGTATAATTCAGAATTCATTGTTCCATCAATGATGGCAAGCCATCCTGACCCAGATGCAGCAAAACAGGCCCAAACCATGATACTACCACCACCATGTTTCACAGATGGGATAAGGTTCTTATGCTGGAATGCAGTGTTTTCTTTCTCCAAACATAACGCTGCTCATTTAAACCATTTAAATATTCTATTTTGGTCTCATCCATCCACAAAACAGGGATGTCTTGTCAAAGTCTTGTCCACATGATCTTTAGCAAACTGCAGATGGGCAGCGATGTTCTTTTTGGAGAGCAGTGGCTTTCTTCTTGCGACTCCTGATGATGGACTCATAAACATTAACATTCACCAATGCGAGAAAGGCCTTTAGTTACTTAGAAGTTAACCTGCAGTCCTTTGAAACCTAGTGGACTTTTACACGTCTTGCTTTTAGAGTGTTCTTTGTTGTCGCCCCACTCCTGGGGAGGGTAACAGTGGTCTTGAATTTCCTCCATTTGTACACAATCTGTCTGACTGTGGATTGGTGGAGTCCAAACTCTTTAGAGATGGCTTTGAAAGCTTTTCTAGCCTGATGAACAGCGTCAACTCTTTTTCTGAGGTCCTCAGAGATCTCATTTGTTTGTGCCATGATACACTTCCACAAACATGACCAAACTTTGATAGATCCCTGTTCTTTTATATAAAACAGGGCACACACTGACACTTGATAGTCATCTCACTGATTAAAAACACCTCTGAACAGATGGACTCTTAATTTCACCTTCAAATAAACAGCTAATCCTAGAGATTCACATACTTTTGCTGCTCACAGATATGTAGTATTGGATCATTTTCCTGAATAAATAAATGACAAAGTATATATTTTCATCTCATTTGTTTGATTGGGTTCTCTTTGTCAACTTTCAGGACTTGATGATCTGATCTGATGATTTTTTTGGGTTATATTTATGCAGAAATATAGACCGTTCTAAAGGGTTCACAAACTTTCAAGCAGCACTGTATAAGAGGTCACTGTACTATAAAAACCTGTAAATCCTGTAAATTTCAGAACTCAAAACTTTGTCGTTAGTCTAAAAACAGCTTATATTGAAGCCAGTCTACCAAATCGACTGTACCTCTCTATGATGTAAAAGTGTGGCTAAACACCACCTCTGCAGAAGATCATCAACGCCTGCTTCTACATCACTGCCTGTTTAGCCCCACCCACTGATTAACGCATGTAGTGTTTGCAAGAGTGAAATGCAGAAACCAAATCATAAAGATGATCCGAAGATATCAAGATGCAGTGCAGTGCCGAGGTGTGGAAAAAACAGTGGAATAAATGTTACTATGCTACTACTGTAGAAATGTAGCAAATTGCGGCCCTATTGAGTTTTGTATTATATTTGGATTTGAACTTCAGTTTAACCAGTTTGAAAAAAGTGTGTAAACATGCAAATTGGTCTGTAGGTACTTGGTTACAGTAAAATGGTTGTCATTGTGCCTCATTGAGAAAACAATCAATGTAATTTGAAAGATGCAGTCATTCAATGTACTTTGTGCCAATGCAATAAAAAATTATTTATATGGCCTACAAAGAGTTTTGAAAAGTGATCTAAGTATTGCGAAATGTATCCTAGTGATTTAATTCTTAAATGTGTCTTGTTTTTAAAGATATTTTTTACAGGACAAGAGAGAATATGACCCCACCAGATCTGTGCCCTATTTACTGTACATTTATATGCATGCAAACTGTGGAACTCTCTGTCTAATTCTTATTGCAAAAAAGGTGTTTGACCAATAGATGGAGGACATAAACATCTCAGATTGACCTTATGGTTCAATACAAAGAACATAGACTCCAGCTGCTTGTTTTAAAATATTATAGGATAGTGGTGTTTATGGTGTATCTGTTTTGTCTAGCACACCTGATTCAATCTCTCAGCTCATTAGCAGAATACTCGGTGAA